AATGTGTTTAATTGTTGGTGTGTGATGTGTTGAGAATGATTTGTAAGGCTCATTGCTTAATAATTGATGTTGTATCACAGTTGTATTATTGTGAATTGTGCATTGTTATGAAAATGGTCATCTCTTCATTATTTGTGTGAACATGTAATTTGCATTGGTTCTGAGACATGGTTGTGATAAGTGTTATGTGATAAGAGGATGTACCATTTCGAGGGACGTATCGCGTGCCGCGATGGATACTATATATCGACGGACATATCGCGCGCCGTGATAGATACTATATATCGAGGGTCGTATCGCACGCCACGATGGATTTATGGACATATATGTCCTCCGTGGGTCCCGGACTGAGAGACAGCAGGTGTGTATCACTAGGTCAGACATGTATCACTATACATGACATTGCATTCCATTGCATTGCACATATTTATCATTAGTGAACTTGATATTGTGTTTTGCTGATCTTGTGAGTGTCTTTCTGTGAAACTTTGATTGATGAATATTGAGCTTGTTGTTGAGGATATGCAATTTTTAGAGTGTTGTTGTTGAGCTGTCTGCTATGTGAATTATGAACTGTTAGGTTGGGCTAGTTTTATGCAGGTTGTAGTTGTGGAGGTTGTGATTGATGAATATTGAGCTTGTTGTTGAGAATATGTGATTGTTAGAATGTTGTTGTTGAGATATGTGCTTGTAAATTGTGAACTGTTAGGTTGGGCTGATTTTATGCAGGTTGTAGTTGTGGAGGTTCGGTTGGGGTGTAAGGAGTACTCATATTCTATCCCCTTAGCTTGTGTTTAGAGGTTTACTTGCTGAGTACCGTGTGGTTTGGTACTCACCCCTTGCTTCTACAATTTTTGTAGGTTATGAGCCTGGATTTTTGTGATACTTTCCATCCTCTTCTTTTCCAAGGCTCCTTGGGGATTTTTGAGGTAGCTGTTTGTCATCTCAACAGACCTTCTTACTCCTATTTATGATCTTGTTCTATTCTAGAAACAAGGTCATTTGAGACTTGTGTTTTTCTTTTGAATCAATTGTAATACTTTAAAGGCTTGTGCACATGACAACCAGATTTTGGGGATATTTTTGAGTTGATTATAAAATTTTCGCATTTTATTGTAATAGTTGAGTTTTAGGCTGACTTGTCTTGGTGGGATAAGACGAGTGCCATCACATCCATTTTTGGCTCGTAACACATTGCACGCCATTTTTTAAATTAGACTTGATAGATTATATTTTTGTCAAACATTTAATAATTTATGACATTTTATTTATTTATTAATCTTTTTATCAAACATTCATTTCACGTTGTTCGTAGAAACTTCAAACTTTTAGTTTTTACGATCAATTCAATTGAAATATATTAATTTGAAAAAATATAAATCAATTATTTTTCATAATATTAGTTAAAGAAAATATGTTTATTAATTAATATATTTCAGAAAAGAATATATGTCTTAAATATTTAATTTAATGTCATTTATAAAGTTTCTTATTTGTCTAGTATAAATTTTAAATAGTTAATTTTAATTTTTAAAATTTATATAATTTTATGATTGCAATTGTGCATCCAAATAGAACATGTGTAATTACAGTGTAATTACGTTGTGGCAACCAAACAGGTCAGTGTAATTACTAGACAGTGTAATTACTAGGCTTATAATTATTACCCTAGTAATTACACCAATTCCAATTACCAGGTGGCTTTCCAAACAGACACTTAGAGAAAAACAGAATAAAAATAAAATAAATGAAACGCTCAAGTCTGGGCTCGAACCCAGGCCACAAAAGCTCGAGTTTTGCCTTTTTTAGGAAAAAAAATGGAGTAACAAAAAAATTAAACAAAATGCCTATAGTTGGGCTCGAACCTAGAATACTGAGGTGGTTTAGCATAGCCTTAACCGCCGGAATGTCTACCTTTAGTGTGTCAAAAGTGTTCAACATTTAGTATATATCCAAAACTATTGATATTTAGTATATATACTCGCAAAAATTCTCTGACAAAGGTTGTTCATCTGACCACCCTCGCCAAGTCATAGCTCCGCCCTTAGTGCCATTGATGGATGCCGATGTGGAAATGCTCATGGATCCTCTTTTTCCACCCTTTTCAAATGAAACCAAACGCTAACAAGGGTAAGAAAAGTCAAAAGATGGGTGAGGAGGGAGAAAAACAGGCTTCAATAGGTTAGGGAAACAAGGAGGATGATGGTGATGATGCCCCCACTGCCTAGACCCAACACCAGCTCTCTAGAAGCCACGTGGGTGAGGACTTGGCCGCCATCTGGAGATATGTGGGAGTTTTCCAACTGGAGCATCATCCTCAATCCCTACTACCCATAAGAATAAAATACTCCGCCTAGAACGGGCTTGGGAGAGGAAGAAGAACATAGTTTGGGAGTGTCTACTTGTTGAATTTCATCTCTGTTTTTCTTTGCATAAGCTTTTCTGGGAGGCATGATTCTTTAAATGCATAGAGCATGGATTCAATGTAGGTTAAATAGAGTTTAACTCTATCTCATGAAAGTATGAAAGAAAGGAAGTATTTCCTAAAATGTTTCATAACCTCTCATTTATAAATGTGGTGCACTTCACACTAATAAATAAGACTCTACTTAACAACGTTTTTAGACACCCTAGGTCACTTTATATTTGATACTCTGACACTAAGTTTGTCACAATATAAGCCTACCCGCTAGTCATAAAATACTGTTAAGAGCCACAAGTGACCCCAAGCTAACCCATGGTCTAACATGACATTAAGATTTATATATATATATATATATATATATATATATATATATATATATATATATATATATATATATATATATAAAAATCTTCAATACTATTTTAAAAGCATGAACTTTCTAACTTGAATGTTAAATTACTAGAATACCCCAACTTAAAACACCCAATTTAGTATAAATTTTATATTTTATATTTTATATCATATCATATTTATTTATTTTATATTATATTAAAAGTTGACACCTTTTCACATTGATGAGTAGTTACTTCTCGAAGGGTTGTGTCTTTTTCAACGAGTTGTGACATTTTTGAATGGTTATTATTTTTCTGAAGGTTGTGGCTTAATTGATAAGGCAGGATAAACACATTTTCATACTATAATTTGTTGTCTTTAAATAGAGGGATTTTCTCACATTTTTAATCTACGAATTTTGTAAGTTTTCTATTCTTCTTCTACATAAAACAAGAAAGATTGTGAGAATTATTCAATTATGCAATTGCAATATTTTTTGTGGATAAATTTTATAGATCAACAAAAATTGATGCAACAAGGAAGATGGAATAACTCAACTCCAAATGAGAAGACTATCTAGATAATTAATATGTACTCACTTTCATTGCCACAAATATACTTTCGCAACAACTTCTACTTGACAAGAAGTTCAATGATTTTATGTTGCACAAAATACAACTTGGTGTTCACGCTGTGAAAAGCCTCAAACTTTTGAAGAAAAAAGATTTGAACAAAAACTTGTTTGAAGAGTTCAAACTAGATTTAATAAGTACTTCTCTGTTTCCAAATTATTTGTTGTACTTTTATTTTTATTCAGTTTAATACAAAATGTTCTTCTTCTTCTTTTTTTTTGGGGGGGGGGGGGGGCATGATTAAGACTACAAAGTTAAAACACATTTTTGTATATTTTACATATCCATAAATTAAAAGTCTTCTTGTTTTTATATTTTTTTTATATCAAATTAAAATTAGACAAATTTATATCTATCGACTTCCTTAAAAGTATGAACTAACTAACTCTAGTGATAAATTATATTAAAAACAAGCACTTTTTTCACATTGAAGGGTTGTGATATTTCCAAAGTGTTGTAACTTTTTCGATTAGTTGTGACTTTTTCAAAGGGTAGTGACTTTCTTAAAGAGTTGTGACTTTTCCAAAGAGACTTTGGGAAATACATTTAGTATTGTTGTCATAACATATATGGGTTTAGTAATGATGAAATTATGTGGCGACAATTGATGTTAGAATCTCTACTATGATTTCCTAGATTGAGTGTATATCAAATAGGGTCATGATACGACTACTACAATAGCAACAATGCTTACTTGGTAAAGTTATTAAGTGTGTTATAATTGTGGAGAACCTGGACATACGAGGAGGAAATCAACGAGGCCATGGAGGCCGAGGAAATGGTAATGTAGGTAGGGGAGCAGTGTGCAGCCAGGCAAGGATGTTGCCCACCAAGATGATAGGGCTCAGTTTTATGCCTTTCCGGGCAAGACCGAGGCTGACGTATCTGATGTAGTGATCACAAACACTATTCTTGTCTGTGACCGAATGGCTACTACTTTGTTTGATTCGGGTTCTACTTATTCATATGTATCATTTCAGTTTGCCTTGGGATTTTATGCGGTATGTGATGTGCTTGATGCCCCCATCCATGTTTCTACCCTTGTTGGAAAGTATGTCATAGTCACCTATATATATCGTGCTTGTCCTATTTTGTTTATGGGTTTTCAGACTTGGGCTGACTTGGTTATTCTGGATATGACTGACTTTGATATAATCTTAGGCATGACTTGGTTGTCCCTTTATTATGCGGTGCTTAATTATAATGCTAAGTCTGTGACTCTAGAGATCCCGGGTAGGAAAAAGTTAGAGTGGGAAGGGGTGTACAAGCCTAAGCCAGCTAAGGTCATATATTTCGTTTGGGCTAGGAACAGGTGGGGAAGGGGTGTTTGGCATATTTGGCTTATATTCAGGTTGTTGATGCTGAGTCTCCCTCTGTTGAGTCTGAATTCAAGGAAGTATTTCCTACCGATTTGTTTAGTATGCCTCCAGATAGGGATATAAATTTCCGCATTGACTTGGAACTGGGCACTCGCCCCCATCTCCATTCCCCCTTATCGCATGGCTTATGTAGAATTGAGAGAGCTTAAGGCTCAAATCCATGATTTCATCTGTCCTAGTTCTTCCCCGTGAGGTTCTCCTGTCTTGTTTGTTAAGAAAAAGGATTGTAATATGAGGATGTGCATAGACTACCGATATTTGAATAGGGCCACCATTCAAAATAAGTATCTGTTGCCTCGGATAGCTGATCTCTTTGACCAGTTGCATGGTGCATTAGTTTTCTCTAAGATTGACCTAAGGTCTGGTTACCATCAGTTAAAGATTAGGCCTGAGGATGTACCCAAGCCGGTATTCAAGACCCGCTATGGTCACTATTAGTTCTTAGTGATATCGTTTGGGTTGACCAATGCCCCTGCAGCCTTCATGAGTTTGATGAATGGTGTTTTCAAACCATTCCTGGATTCTTTTGTTATTGTCTTTATTGATGACATTTTGGTTTACTCGAAGAGTAAGGAAGAGCATGCCGACCATCTTCGTATTGTTTTGGGTGTCCTTGGAAAATCTAAGTTATATGAAAATTTTCATAAGTGTGAGTTCTGGTTGACTTCAGTTGCTTTTTTGGGGTATGTGGTTTCAAATGAAGGGGTAATGGTAGATCCCCAAAAGATCGAAGCAATCAAGAACTGGGTTCGGCCTAGCTCTGTGACTGAAGTTAGGAGTTTCGTAGGGCTCGCCATCTACTATCGTCGATTTGTGCAAAATTTTGCTTCTATCGCCACACATTTAGCAAGGCTGACTAAAAAGGAGGTGCCTTTCGAGTGGACTGAAAAATCTGAAGAGAGCTTCAGAAACTGAAGACTCTTCTAACCACAACGCATATTCTAGCACTGCTGGTGGAAGGTAAAGATTTAATTGTTTATTGTGATGCTTCACATTCAGGCTTGGGTGGCGTGTTGATGCAGGAAAGAAATGTCATAACTTATGCATCGCAACAACTGAAGGTGCATGAGATAAATTACCCGATATATGCAGCAGTAGTGTTTGCTCTCAAGATCTGTCGGCATTACCTTTATGGTGTGAAGTGTTCATTGATAATCGTAGTCTAAAACATGTAATCACTAAGAAGGACCTGAATGTGAGGCAGAGAAGGTGGATGGAGTTAATCAAGGATTATGATGTTACCATCCAGTATCATTCGGGTAAGGCGAATGTGGTGGCAAACGCACTAAACCGGAAGACGGTAAGTATAGGTAGTTTAGCTTGTTTGGGTGTGTCCAAGTGTCACGACCCAAAGGTACCCCTAGACGTAACAAGGCACATAGAACCCCGAAAGGCCCCATGTATGCACTTACCATACCATAACATAAAGTCTTAGAACAATAAGAGTAAAAACACATTTAAGTCCAAATAGTCTTTATAAAGGAAAGCAGAAGTCTAGACTTGTCTCAATTAGCCATCTATTACAATCCATGAGTCAAAATAGGGTCACAACCCCAAACAACATAATCCGAAATAGAAAGTACTAAAATTGAAAATCAAAGTAGATCTCCCATCCTCGAATCATGAGGACTTATCACAAGCAAGGAGAATAGTCAAATCCAAGCTTGAACCAAATGATAACCGTCTTAAGAACCGGACCCTTCACTTTGGAAAAAGTGTAGAAAATATGGGTTAGTACAAAAATGCACTAAGTATGATAGTCATGCACAAAATCCTTGAAAACGTGCTAAAAAGGACATTTTAGTAGAATGCATGACATTTACTAGTTTAAAGCATCATTTTGAAAAAAATGAAAAGGTATAAGTCATAAGCATAAATAACTCATATATCATCATATCATAATAGGAACATACCATAAATACCCTCAAAGCATACTTGTGCAATGCATGAATAAGATCCCATAATCCCACCCATACTAAGTAAAGCTTCTTGAGTAACTACAGTTCATATTTAATATTCCTGTTCATACTATCATAGAGGGAGATTAGCCTTAACCGACATAGACCATGTGAGCTTACCATGGAATTCGGTGTCAACCTCACATCGAAAAGGGGTTGTCCTACTTGCTTAAGGTAGAACCATACCCTTAGCTTAGATGGATCCACTGGCTAAAGACCTATGTGGGCACATAGTTATGGGATAGGGAGATTGGTACTAGAAGACCCGACCTCTACTAACGTGAGGTCTTCCATCCCAAGAGATTGTTCCTAGAAACTCGGCCTCCACTAACGTAAGGGCTTCCATCTCATATCACTATCCCCTTAGTGCTAAGCATAATTCCCATTTAGTTCATGTTAAGTCTTGACTTAAGTTCATATTTACGGAAAAATGTCTTGACACTTAATCCATATAACTCATACAAAAGCTCATAGATTCAATAGGCGAGACTAGTCTTCCAACCTTAAAATACTACATGTGACAAACCTTTCACATCACATCATATTCATACATAAGTGTGTACATGAGAATAATCATCCAATCAACACAACAATTAGATCATAATCATATTCACTTGACTCTCAAAGTGATCTAAAAGCATATACATAAACCTCATAATATAATAGATCAAATTCAATCAACATATAATTACTACATTAGACATGAATGATAACATGATTCAATTACTAGATGCATAATTCTATCATATTCTACTTGCATCAATCAATACCCACACTTTGAGATCCAAATTGGGAAAATAGGGGAATTCATGGATTCTTGGGGAATTCGACATAAAACCATATAAAATCATCAATATATCCATAATTAAACATAATTCAATCATTAAAAATGAATTTGAAAGGAATCCATGAGATTGAAGTCAAACCCTAACTTTTGGGATTTCTAGGTTTGAAATTGAGGGTTTTGGAGGGACTCCATGGATGAAAACTATCCATGGATGAAGGTCTACCATACCTTGGTGAAGAAATCCAACGAATTTGAGTGAAAAAGCTTGTTCCCTTCAACCCTAGCTTCACCTTTCTTCTTCTTCCTTGGAGTTCTAGAGAGAGTTTTTGGGGGAAAAGTTGATTTTGATTTGGGATTTTGAAGTTATGATTTAGATGATTTAGTTTAGGGACTTAAAACCTTATATAGTTAGTTTAATTTTGTTTAAAACGATGTCACTTAACATTTAATAAAAAGGAAAACCCCAAAACACCCGTAAGTTTAACTGCCAAATGGCAGTTCCCAGGTCCCATCTACGCCCACCACTGACGGACCGTGGGAGGACCCAAGGCCCGTGCTGGCAAGCCGTGGTAGGGGTTCTGAGGCTTGGTTCATGGGGCCTTGACCAATAGACCTCACCCACTAGGCGTGGGTCCACCTACTGGTCGTGGTTCCCCCTCGTGGGTGGACTGCCAAGACACCATTTTTGTCACCTTTGAAGGGTCCTCCTCAAGGACCCACGGTAGGTCCTTGGGGGTTCGTAACTTGACGTTTTAACAAAAAAACATATATATTGAGTACCAGGACTTATTTACGACTCTAACCCTCACGTCAAGTCCTAGTTTATCCTACTAGTTTATGGAATGTTACATTATCTCCCCCTTGGGAACATTCGTCCTCGTATGACGATCTAGACGCCTTACAAAATTAAAGACTCAAAACTAGCGTCCCAACATGCATAAAACATCAAAAGAACGCACAACTAAGAAGGAGGAAACTTCAACTCAATCTAAAACATAGTCAGTGCAACACAAGGGAGTAGGAACTACATCTAACAACCTATTATGCATGAAGCTCAATATTTCACATATTCATAGGAGGAACTACCTTCTCCAACTAAAATCATGCTCAACAGAATATCATGGAGCCAATATGTAATTTCTCTCATAAGCATACTAAAGCATGTTCATCAACTTATTTCATAAAGTTAAATATGCAACTCATGCTAAATGCACAACAACATGAGGAACATAAATCATGAAAACTCATTTTTCTTACTAAACATGAATTTCATCAAGAAAATGCATAACATAAGGAAATCATGGAAAAGCTCATACCACACACATGACTTTCAAAACACTAAAACTCAAGAGGAACTTATTACCTCAAGCTTGAATAGGAGTAGAAGGAAAGAGATGAGGATATCCAGACTTCATATCGACCTCGGCCTCCCAAGTAGCATTCTCAACTTGATGATTCCTCCGTAAAACCTTAACGGAAGCTATTTCCTTATTCCTTAATCTCTTGACTTACCGGTCTAGGATTTCTATATGAACTTCTTCATATGAAAGACTTTAGTCAACTCCCAACCCTTCTAGGGGAATAATGGACGTAGGATCCCCAATACACTTTTTAAGCATAGAAACATGAAATATCGGGTGAACCGGGGACAACTTATTTTGGCAAATCCAATTCATAGGTAACTTTCCCAATACGCTTCAAAATTTGATATGGTCCTACATACCGGGGGACTAAGTTTCCCTTTCTTGCCAAACCTCATCACACCCTTCATAGGTGAGATTTTCAAATAGATCCAATCATTAACTTCAAATTCTAGGTCCCTTCTTCTCACATCGGAATAAGACTTTTGCCTACTTTGAGCCATTCTCAATCTCTCTCTAATGAGCCGAACTTTCTCAATAGCTTCATAAACCGATTCGGGACCAATAAGAGCAATATCGCCTACCTCAAACCAATTAACTAGAGACCTACATCTCCTACCATACAAGGCTTCAAAAGGAGCCATACCGAAACTTGAGTGGTGACTACTATTGTAGGCTAACTCTACTAATGGCAAGTGGTCATCCCAATTACCTTGGAAATCTATAACATATGCCCTCAACATGTCTTATAAAGTTTGAATGGTGCGTTACGCTTGACCATCCGTTTGAGGGTCGAAAGTCGTGCTAAGCTTAACTTTAGTACCAAGCCCTTTTTGAAATGACTTCTAAAAGTGTGAAGTAAATTGAGTACCACGATTCGAAATAATGGATAAAGGTGCCTCATGTAACTTCACTATCTCATTTATATACAATTTGGCATAGTCTTCCTCCGAATGAGAGACCTTGATGGGAATAAAGTGGGCTGATTTTGTCATCCTATCTATAATGACCCAAATAGAATCATGTTCCCTTCAAGTGCGAGGCAAACCCACAATAAAGTCCATATTCACATCTTCCCACTTCCAAGTAGGAATAGGGATATTTTGTGACAAGCCTCCCGGCCTTTGGTGCTCAACCTTAACTTGTTGACAATTAGGACATTTGGCTACAAATCCCACAATATCTCTCTTCATACCATTCCACCAATAGACTTCCCTTAGATCACAGTACATCTTAGTGGCTCCCTGATGAATAGAATACCGTGAACTATGAGCCTCCTCTAAACTTTTCTCCCTCAACCCATCAACATCTGGAACACATAATCGAATTTGGTACCTAAGTACCCCATGTCCCCCTTGGGAGAAAGCCTCAACTGATTTCTTGAGTACTGAATCTTTCACCTCAACTAATAAGGGATCAAAATCTTTCTTAGACTTCACATCCATCACAAAGGACGATTTAGAACCATTATGGACCATGATACCAGGAATCCACTAGTTGAACACCTAGCCGAGCCAACATATGCACATCACAGACCAACTCTTTCTTTTCATCTTCTATATGAGCCACACTACCTATAGACAATCTACTAAGTGCATCCGCTACAACATTAGCTTTGCTGAGGTGCTAAAGAATACTCCTGTCATAATCCTTCAAAAGTTTTAACCACCTTCTTTGTCGGAGATTCAAGTCCTTTCAAATAAACACATATTGAAGACTTTTGTGATCGGTGAATACATCCACATGGACCCCATACAAGTAATGTCTCCATACTTTCATAGCAAATACTACCGCCGCTAATTCTAGATCATGGGTCGAATAATTCTTCTAATGTACTTTGAGTTGCCTTGAAGCATAGGCAATCACTTTACCGTTTCGCATAAGGACACATCCCAACCCAACTCTAGAGGCATCACAATATACAACAAAACCATCCATACCCTCTGGTAGGGTCAATACCGGAGCGAATGTAAGTCTATCTTTCAACTCTTTGAGGCTTTTCTCACAAGCTTCCAACCACTCAAACTTAGCCTTCTTTTGAGTCAAAGCCATCAATGGAGAAGCAATAGAGGAAAACCCCTCAACAAACCTCCTATAGTAACCGGCCAAATCCAAAAAACATCTAATATTAGAAGGAGTTAGAGGTCTAGGGCAACTCTTGACCATATCCATCTTCTTAGGATCTACCTCAATACCCTTGCTTGACACGATATGGCCAAGGAAAGCTACGGACCTTAACCAAAATTCACACTTGCTAAACTTTGCAAAAAGTTGTTGGTTTTTAAGAACTTGCAACACAATTCTCAAATGGTCCATATGTTCATTCTCACTCCTTGAATAGATCAAAATATCATCGATAAACACAATCACAAACATATCAAGGGATTGTTCAAACACCTTATTAATCAAATCCATAAATTTTGTCGGGGGATTTGTCAACCCAAATGACATAACCACAAATTCATAGTGACCATACCGGGTACTAAAGGACATCTTTGGAATATCAATCCCTCTCACCCTTAATTGGTGATAACCCGAACGAAGATCAATTTTGGAGAAATAGCTATCCCCTTGAAGTTCATCAAACAAGTCATCAATTCTCGGAAGAGGATATTTATTCTTAAAGGTTACTTTTTTCAATTGGAAATAATCAATGCACATTTTAATAGACTCATCCTTCTTTTTAACAAACAACACCGGAGCATCCCATGGAGAGATACTCGGTCGAATAAAACCCTTATCTAGCAAATCCTTTAATTGCTCTTTCAACTCGGCTGAAGCCATTCTATACGGAGGAATGGAGATAGGTTGCGTATCTGGTAAAAGATCAATGCCAAAATCTATTTCCCGCTCGGGAGGAATACCGGGCAAACCATCGGGGAAAACTTCTGGAAACTCATTTACTACCGGAACCAACTCTAGAGAAGGGGTTTCAGACTCAATTTCCATCACCCTAACAAGATGGTAATTACACCCTTTGGAGATCATTTTGCCTAGCTTTAAGACAAGAAACAAATTGACCTCTCGGGATAGAATTTCCCCCCTTCCACTATAACATAGGCTAATTTGGAAATTGGAATTTAACCACCCGAATCTTACAATCGATAGAGGCATAGCATGCATGCAACCAATCCATACCCAAAATAGCATCAAAGTCTAACATGTATAATTCTACCAATTCCACCAATGTAACTTTATGGGACAACTTCTATAGACTTTGTTTTCCACCACCGAGTCATCAACCGGAGTAGAAACCAAAAAAGGTTCTACTAACACTTCGGGGAATATTTCAAACTTCATGGCTACAAAAGGTGTCACAAAAGACAAAGTGGCACTGGGATCTAACAACTCATATACATCAATAGAAAAGACTTTTAACATACCGGTCACAACACTGGAGAGCTCTCTTGGTCACCTCGGGATTGAAGAGCATAAAAATGGTTTTACTTTTGGGCATTGGAATTTGAACCGCTTGGAGGAGCTTGTTTTCCTTCTCTCCCTTTGGAAATGAGTACCGAGCAATCTCTCATCTTATGTCCACACTTTCCACAACCATAGCACCCATCCGAGCCAACTAGGCACTTGCCTTCATATTGTCTACCACATTTTTCACAATTAGGCATAGCAACATAAGAACCACCACTATTTCCTCCTTGAGGTTTAGGATTAAAAACCCTATCCTTGTCGACCCATGGAGCACTAGAGCAGCCTTGATTGGAAAATCTTTGTTTGAACTTTTGTGGACCTTATCCATCGGACTTAGTATTGGAGAAATTCCCATAACCGGTTCTTGCTCTTTTCACCTCCCTATTCTTGTCTTGGAGTTTCTCATCCTCTATTTGTTGGGCATACATCATAAGACGTGAGATATACATATTATCATGAAGAATTGCCAAACGACACTCTTTTCTTACCAATTTAGACACACACATCAAATACCTACTCATAATATCTCTTGAATCTGCTACTAAAGTCGAGGCATACTTGGACAATTGAGTAAACTTTAGAGAATACTCTTGCACACTCATACCTCCTTGACGAAGGTTAATGAATTATTCCACCTTAGCTTCCCTCAACTCTCGGGGAAAGAACCTATCAAGGAACACCGATTTGAACACTTCCTACTCTATTAGACCCACTTCTACCGGCCTATTATTCTTCCATTGAGTATACCATACTTGGGCCACACTTTACAATTGGTAAGCGGCTAACTCTGCTTTCTCTACCGAAGTCACCCCAATGGTATCAAGTATCTTATAAATCTCTTTGACAAATTCTTTAGGATCCTCTCCCACCTTGGAACCAAGAAACTCGAGAGGGTTCATTCTTGCCAAATCCCTCAATCTAGAAGCCGTGGAATTCATATTAGGATTCACATGAGTCACAAGATCCCTATTGGCTTGAGCCGCCAAAGCTTGGGCCGACATTTGGAAAGCTGACCTAACCTCCTCATTTGACATAGACGAAGGGTCAACCAAAGTTTGGTTAGCTTGAAGAGCTTGATTACCTTAAGGAGTTTCTTCATTCACATTCTCCTCTCCAATCCTTCTAGCATTAGCCCTTCGTGTATTCAGTCCTGAAGACACAAGAGAAAGATTAGGAGAGGGACTTTTATAGAATTAAACTCTAAGGCACGACCCAAGAATAATGAAAATGTGACATTTTCTAAACATATTATAGCTTCTCATTCAAAAGTGTGGCATGATTCACACTCATGAACAATACTTTACTAGACGTGGCTTATGATACATCATCCTAGAATCATTATAAACCTTGTGCTCTGATTACCAAGTTTGTCACGATCCAAGGGTACCCCCTAGACGTAACAAGGCACATAGAACCCCGAAAGGCCCCATGTAAGCCACTTAGCATACCATAACATAAAGTATTAGAACAATAAGAATAAAAACACATTTAAGTCCAAACAGTCTTTATAAAGGAAAGCGAAAGTCTAGACTTGTCTCAATTAGTCAACTCTTACAATTAATGAGTCAAAATAGGGTCACAGCCCCAAACAACATAATCCGAAATAGAAAGTACTAAAAATGAAACTCAAAGTAGATCTCCCATCCTCGAATCATGAGGACTCACCACAAGTAAGGAGAATAGTCAAATCCAAGCTTGAACCAAATGATAACCGCCTTAAGAATCGTACCCTACACTTTGGGAAAAATGTAGAAAATATGGGTTAGTACAAAAATGCACTAAGTATGATAGTCATGCACAAAATCCTTGAAAGCGTGCTAAAAAGGACATTTTAGTAGAATACATGCCATTTACTAGTTTAAAGCATCATTTTTGAAAAAAATGAAAAGGCATAAGTCATAAGCCTAAACAACTCATAAATCACCATATCATAATGGGAAAATACCATAAATACCGTCAAAGCATACTTGTGCAATGCATGAATAAGATCCCATAATCCTACCCATACTAAGTAAAGCTTCTTGAGTAACTATAGTTCATATTTCATATTCTTGTTCATACTATCATAGAGGGAGATTAGCCTTAACCGACATAGACCATCTGAGCTTACCATGGAATCCGGTGTCTACCCAACACCGTAAAGGGGTTGTCCTACTTGCCTAATGTAGAACCATACTCTTAGATTAGGTGGATCCAGTAGCTAAAGACCTATGTGGGCACATAGTTATGGGATAGGGGGATTGCTACTAGATGACCCGGCCTCTACTTACACGAGGGCTTCCATCCCAAGAGATTATTCCTAGAAACCCAACCTCTACTAATGTGAGGGCTTCCATCTCATATCACTACCCACTCGGTGCTAAGCATAATTTCCATTGAGTTCCTGTTAAGTTTTGACTTAAGTTCATAATTATGGAAGAATGCCTTAACACTCAATCCATATAACTTATACTAAAGCTCATAGATTCAATAGGTAAGACTAGTCTTTCAACCTTCGAATCACTACATGTGACAAACCTTTCACATCATATCATATTCATACATAAGTGTGTACATGAGGATAATCATCCAATCAACACAATAATTAAATCATAATCATATTCACTTTACTTTCAAAGTGATCTAAAAGCCTATACATAAACCTCATAAACAAGCATAATTCTCATACTTTGCCCTTCAAGGACCATAGATCAAATTCAATCAGCTTATCAAGAATTAATACATTAGACATGAATGATATCATGATTCAATTACTAGATGCATAATTCTATCATATTCTACTTGCATCAATCAATACCCACACTTTGAGATCCAAATTGGGAAAATAGAGGAATTCATGGATTACATAAAACCATATAAAATCATCAATATATCCATAATTAAACATAATTCAATCATTAAAAACGAACTTGAAAGGAATCCCTGAGATTGAAGTAAAACCCTAACTTTTGGGATTTCTAGGTTTGAAATTAGGGGTTTTGGAGGGACTCCATGGATGAAGGACTACCATACCTTGGTGAAGAAATATAATGAATTTAAGTGAAACATCTTGTTCCTTCAACCCTAGTTTCACCTTTCTTCTTCTTCCTTGGAGTTCTAGAGAGAGTTTTATGGGTAAAAAATTGATTTTGATTTGGGATTTAGAAGTTATGATTTAGATGAGTTAGTTTAGGGAATTAACAACCTTATCTAGTTAGTTGAATTTAGTGTAAGACGACGTCACTTAACATTTAATAAAAAGGAAAACCCCAAAAGACCCCTAAGTTTAACTGCCAAATGGCAATTCCCAGGCCCCATCCACGCCCACCACTGATGTCTCGTGTTGGCAAGCCGTGGTATGGGTTCTGAGGCTTGGTTCCTACGGCCTTGACCAACGACTCTTACCTCGAGGCATGGGTCCACCTATTGGTCGTAGATGGACTGCCTAGGCACCATTTTTGTCACCTTTGAAAGGTCCTCCTCAAGGACCCATGGTTGGTCCTTGGGTGGTCGTACCTTGACATTTTAACCCAAAAACATATGTATTGAGCACCAGGAGTTATTTATGACTCTAACCCTCACGCCAAGCCCTAGTTTAGCCTACTAGTTTCTGAAATATTACACCAAATGACGTTTGGTCAAGGAGATTCAGACCTTGGAGTCTAAGTTCATGTAGTTGGGTATCTCAGAGAAAGGTGGGGTGTTAGCTATCATTGAGATTAGGCCCACTTTTATTAAGGAGATCAAGGCCAAGCAGTTTGAGGATGAGAGCTTGAATGAGCCAAGAAAGAAGACAGTGTCTAGTAAGGCACAAGATGTGGTTCTTGATGTGAGAGATGTGCTCAATTTTAAGGGAAGAATATTTGTTCCTCGAGTGGATGACTTGGTTCAGAAGATGTTGTCAAAATCCCATGGTTCGCGGTATTCCATTCATCCGGGTATGACCAAGATGTACCGAGATTTCAAATGACTTTATTGGTGGCCTGGCATGAAGAAAGACATAACTGAGTTTGTGGATAAGTGCAAAAATTATCAGCAAGTAAAGTATGAGCACCATAGGCCTGCAAATTTGCTTCAGCAAATGCCAATTCCATAATGGAAATGGAAAATGATAGCTATGGATTTCGTGGTTGGTCTTCCCAAGACCTTGGGAAAGTTTGATTCCATTTGGGTGGTGGTTGACAGACTGACTAAGTCAGCCCACTTCATTCCAGTCAGAGTAGACTATAATGCTCATCAGTTGGCTAAGATTTATGTGAAAGAGATAGTGAGGCTGCATGAGGTGCCCCTTTCCATCAACTCGAACCGTGGTACGCAGTTCACATCCAAGTTTTGGGGAAAATTGCATTAAGAGTTGGGCACTTAACTCACTTTTAGCACAACTTTCCATCCACATATGGACGAGCAGTCGGAGAGAACTATTCAAGTGTTAGAGGGCATGTTGAGGGCATATTGAGGGCTTGCGTGATTGACTTTAGAGGGCATTGAGATAAGTTTCTACCATTGTGTGAGTTCTCCTATAATAACAGTTACCACTCCAACATTGACATGGCACCGTTCGAGGCACTTTATCGAAGGAAATGTATGTCACCCATGGGGTGGTTTGAGGCTGGAGATGTGAAACCTTTTGGGGTTGATTTGGTGCAACATGCTCAGGATAAGGTGAGAAGTATCCAAGCTAAGCTTCTAGTAGTCGAGAGTCGACATAAAAAGTATGCAAACCACAAGGTAAGGGACATGACATATCTGGATGGTGAGCAAGTTCTTCTAAAAGTGTCACTTATAAAAGGGGTGATGAGATTCGGTAAGAAGGGCAAGCTTAGTCCTCGATACATCGGGCCATTTTGAGATTCTTGATTGTGTCAGGCCAGTGGATTATAGGTTGGCTTTATCGCCTAGCCTATCTGCAGTCCATCCAGTGTTCCATGTGTCCATGTTGAAGAAGTATCATGGGGACGGAGATTACATCATAAAGTGGGACTCAGTTTTGTTAGACAAAGACCTTCAGTATGAGGAGGAACCGGTTGCAATTCTTGATCGCGATGTTCGGTAGTTGAGGACCAATGAGATAAAGTCCGTGAAAGTTTAATGGAAGCATCATCCGGTTGAGGAAGCTACTTGGGAAGCCTAGAAGGACATCTGAGACAAGTATCCCCATTATTCGATGATTTAGGTACTATACTACTCTTGCTTTATCCCATTTCTCTTTGTTTGTTACCCAGGCATGATTGATGGGTAAATTGATATCTATTGTAACGACCAGTTCCCGTCGTTATGGAAAAGTCAATGGGGAAGGAATTTGGGCCAGAAAACTTCTGAGTAGTGACTTAGAAATTTCTGGCCTAGGCCAGATTCGGATGAAATCTGAGTCAGGTGTGGTATAGGGAAATATGGTAATGAATGGGGGATCTATTTGTAAATTAGATTACATGAGTGGATAGCCGAGACGTTAAGGATTCTGTAGGGCTTTACAAAATTGAATTTGGGGGGAATAGAACTCCCGAATCTGATCTTGGCGTGAAAGGGTAGTGTTAGAACTTCCTAGTTTGAAGGTGTGTTGTGAAATTGGAGCAATTGGAACTCAAATTCCGAGCTTCTGTCTACGTGCAAGCCACCGGGGTGGGATTAATCCGGCTAGGGTGGGGTCGCTGAGGCGGGATAAGGTCCGCCGTGGGGGCCAGTCGCGAGTTAAGTAGGGGAAAAATACCAATTTCATTATTTTCTGCAAAATTTTGTTCTTAAGAGCTAAAAGACGACCCATGGCAATTTCTTGACAGATTTCCACGACTTCTAGTGCTAAAGGTAAGGAAATTACTCCCCTAATCCCTATTTCGATTCATAAAACTTAGAATCTTGGGTAATTATCATTGGGGGAGGGTTTTGGCCTGAAGTTAATGGTAGGAAAAAGCACTAGCTGAACATTAGGATCATAGGTTTGGTCTTGGATTATTAAGTTTGTTATAATCCAGGTAAATTAGACCTTTTTTATTGATCCTTGCATTAATTACTTGTTTATAGACCAAGAACAAGCTGGAAGACTTCGAAAAGGAAGGCTCAAGTGTCTTAGGAGAATTCATGCTTGGTTTCGAGGTAGGTGATGGTTTGATTTCCTGTTGTGTGATATATGCCGATTAATTGCTTAGTTGGGTTGTAGTAATGGTTCTCCCACCGGAGGGTTAGCTGGGTGCCAATCACAACGGTCTGGGTCGTGACAAATTTGAACACTTCCTAACATGAATTTCATATTATGATAATACTGCAACTAAAAATATCCAATTTAGTATATCTTATATTTTATATCAATACTTATTTATATTATATTTAAAGTAAGACCTCCAACAATACAATAATAACTAAGAAATAAACTTTAGGGAAGAGAGAAGAAAATATATTTACAAGGCTCAACGACTCACCAACACTGTTACCGAGTTGATCAAAAGTCGTACACACCGCAAGCTGGATGATAAGATTTTGAACCTATATATAAAATAATTTAGCGCAAATAGGTATGCAATCAGTACTTTGAATGTACTGGGAGTGTGAGACATGCATCACAAGTCTAGTAAACTGAACAAGATACTCTAAAATACTGAATTTAAATATATGAACTGATGCAATGGCAAAGTAAATCAATATGCAACTAATAATTGAATATATACAAAGTCATGCAATATTTGAAAACTAGATTGTGCGAGATACTAATAAAACATACTCCATTGAGCAAAATGGAGTCCAACTTATACCCCAGCTAGAAGGGCGTTCTATACCCTGTTAGGTGTCACGCCTCGAGCCTACACCCTGGCCGCGATGGGCACTCGAGAATCATTGTTGGGCCCAAGTGAACCCTTGGCCTGGCTCAACTATCCGCGGAAGACTTACTCAACATAGAATAAACTCAAAAGATAAACTTTAACTCAAATATCTCAAAATGATAAACTCATAAATGTTTAGAGAAGCATTCAACTGGCCTCAAGGGAAACTCAAGTCTAGAACATAACAACTGAAATGAAAAAGACTCATAAACTACTACTGTCTATCTATCTATGAAGCCTCTAGTACTATGAAGGATGTCGGGACAAGACCCCGATTATCCTAACAAACTGAAATAATATGATAGAAATAAATGAGGGATCCTGACAGAAGCAGGGAGGCTCACCAAACAACTCTAGAACTCAACTGGATCAACGAAATGTAGGTTGATGATCCTGGTTACCTGTATCTGCATCATGAAAGATGCAAGCTAAATGGCATCAGTACATGGAATGTATGAGCATGCAAGGGAAAAACTAAAGCATGACATAAGCTTGAAATTGAACTGAAAAAACACTTACCTCGTCTCAACTCAACTCAATCTCAAGTCATTTGAATATAAAGCAGTGATAAAGATGCAATATAAAGAAAGCTTTTAAAATAATAGATAACTATTCAGTGTACTGAAAAATACAATATAACTCAATTTGTATGTAAAAATACAAAATAAACTCTATTCGGGAGATTCTCTAACCGACAACCATCACAATAAGCTATGTGATGATACATCGTCTCGTCCACGCTGCCAAAATTGTCCTATACCTTGTCGGGGTATAGAAATCCTCAACTAAGTGTATCCACTAGTCTATGCTTAAAAGCAATAAGGAATATCTAAAAAATATGACTCTTTCTACCCACATTGGCTACATGGTTTATGGGGGATGTGAGTTGTTTGAACTCTTCCCCATATCGGTGCTCAATACTACTCCCAATATAACTTAGCTCTTATGTTACAAATAAAATGTTTTTTCATCCTCAACTTTAAGATTATTACTCAAAAGATTTCTCTAAAAAGAGATAGTGCTCAAGCTCCTCATAACTCATTTGGAAATCTCAGTTTCCTCCTCTTTTTAAAATGTAAAAACATTTGCTCTTGGGAATACTTAGTTCCCATATATCATTTTAAAGAAAACGAACTAAACTCTACTCTTCCTCAAACTCAAATGCTCAAGTCTTAAGACAAGTTTAAAAAGGTTTGCAAAAGGCTTCTCAAAAGACTCGAAAGAACTCTCAAGACTTGACTCTTAACTCTACCTTGAATTTGAATTATGAATTCAAGGTTATGATTCAGGTTATGAATGATTTCTAGATGTTTAGAATAGTTTAGAATAGTTAGAATCAAAGGGGAGTAAGCGTACACTTTGAAAGAACTCAGACGGGCTAAACGACGGAGAAGGGGTGGGGGCAGACAACCCTGGCGCACTGAGTGGCGCAGGGCGCTAACCCCTGAACTATATGACACCTCTGTTGGCGCATTAGTGGGGCGGCGTGCCATCCCCTGCCCAAATTTCCCCGATGAATTTATTTCTCATTTTCTGACCCTTGTTCGCCTATAATAGAATGGTTTCTTCCCCCACTCACTTAGATTCAAATACCCAACATAAGTACACAATAATCTATGCAAAACAACCCTCAAATCACTAACTTTCATCTCAAGAATTCATAAAAACCCCAATAATCAAGTTACAAAGGAATTTCAAGAAAAATCATTAAAAACACAAATCCTTCAACTTCAAGAACGAAATTTGCATTTAGAATAGCATGATTGGCGTGTGGGTGAACGAACCCAACACTATGAGAACTCACATACCTCTTAGGATCGAATTTTCCCTTCTAAAATCTTCTAAATCTTAACGAATGCCTTGAACTTTTTTCCTTTTCTTGAACTCCTCTCAAAACCCTAAGAGTATTTTGATTTATGCAAACTGGCCAGAATCAGATTTGACCCTAAAATAATACTAAATTCGTTTTAAGCTGATGGGGTAAGGAAAATACCAAAATACCCCTCATATTTCTGATAACTTTCCTTAACTGGACAACCTGAATTCAAACGGGCATATCTCCCTCATACGAGCTAGAAATTTAGCAAACTTGGTGGCATTGGAAAGAGGATTTCAAGACCTTTCATTTGATCTCTTATGGGCCACCTAAATCATCCTGTAATGAAAGTTATGGTCGTTTGAAGTTGACTCAAAACTCACAACTTAACTATAATTGGCATAATTTCAGATTTGGCTCTTTCCAAATTAATTTTTTCTAAATTTAGCTCTTTCTAAGGTGGGATGTTACACTATAGTATCAGGACCCAGGGGTACACCCTAGATGTAACATGGCGTACTTGACCCCGAAGGGGTCTCATACAAGCCCTTAGCATATCATAACATAAGATACTAGAAAAGTGCGGAATTTTAAAACATTTTTCATACAATCAAAGTCTTTATAAAAGCAAAGTGGAAGTCTTACTACACTTTTGTCTCAAACCATCTACTATAATACTTTGAATAACTCTCGGGACAAAGCCCATACAATAGTCTCAAAGCATGAAAATAAAAGACATAAAGGAAATGGTGGCTTCATCCTTGAAACTATGAGGACTCACCAAGTCTTGAACTCCTTGCACTTCTAGAAACCTATCTTCAAGAATGGAACAAAAATTTTCGAACCCTACATTTGATTAGAATGTCGGCAAAGTATGCGTTAGTACAAAAGTACTAAATATGATAGCTAGCATAACATCATAAAAGCATAACAACAGAAGGGTTAGTCAACATAAGACATAATCCATAATCATAAAAGATACTTCATGAAACATAAGCTATAAGCATAAGAGATAATATCATAATCATAAGCAAAGTCTCCAACATAGGCATCATATAAGCATTATTCAAATTCTTAGTCCTTCATATCATAAGAGAACTACCTCTCAAGTAACCTCAAAACACACTTGTGCAATGCATGAATAAGACCCCACAATCCCATTCATATTAAGTATCCCCTTTGGTCATCATAATCATATTTACCATTTTATGGTCTCATCC